CTTCTTGTTGTGCTCAATTGCTATGGATCAAACAACAGCTGGTATATTTTGGAATTGAAGTGGGATGTATTCCAATATTCTGTGATAACACTAGTGCTATAAGTATGACAAAGAACCCTGTTCATCATAAGAGGACTAAGCACATAGATGCTAGACACCACTTCTTAAGAGATAACTATGAGAAAGTATTGATTTCAATAGAATTCTGTGCTACTGATAAACAAATAGCTGACATTTTCACTAAAGCACTGAGTAGAGAAAACTTTGAGAGGAACAGGTTGGAATTAGGGATGATTAAAATCACCTAATAGGTCCACTTCAGAATGCACAATGAATTATTTTTTTGGTTAGGAGTTCTAACTTTGTGTAAATATCTAGATCAATTCTTACTCAGTTTCATACTTTAATTAATATAATCCTGTGACATGTGTATATATATGACTCACTGATCTCTTACAAAGTTTCTTCTATTTTGACATTTGAGGCATGTTCAAGAGAGTTCTATATAAAGAACCTGGTTCATCAGTATGTATTCATATGAAAAGCTCAGGTATGTTTTCTATACTCTGCACAATTAGAAATATTATTTTTCCAATCATGAGCAGAAGTCCTACATTCATCAAATTCCCAAAAATTCTACCCGTTGAGCATTGAACCAGTTTCGTTCCCCTAGAACTCTAAAAATCGGGATTTTTGCCTAAAATCTAGCGATGCCTAATAATCACTAAGAGACCGGAATTACACCTTGATTAGACTTCTAATTGACCTCTGAAAAAGCTATCATTACTTCATTTAATTCTAATCATCTTTAAATACACACCACACCTCTTCTTCATTAGTCCATAATCGTCAAAACTCTTCTCATGTTCTGATCGCCCTTCTTCTCTCCAAAAATTCCTAAATTTTTCTCAAGAAACAATCCACCATGACTAACCCCCAAGATAATCCTGGCACTCCCCCACCAGTATCCCCTTCTAATACATCCTCATCTACACCCCCTAGTGAAACCCCAAAACCTAGGTTTCGTAGGCAGAAAATGTTGGCCAGAAAAACTGTAGCTTCTGGAGCTCTAAGAAAAGTTCTAAATGAGAAATTGAAGGCTAGCCAAAGGAAGGAAAGTCCTACTCAAGAATCTGACTCAAGCTCTGAGTCTGAAGCTTTTATTTCTGCCAGCGAAGGTGAAGAACACGGGTCTTCTGACACTGATAAATTTCAAGAAACCCTTGGTGAGGTAAGTTCTTGTATGATATTCTCTACTATGGTTGAAAATATAGAAAATAGGTTTGTCTTGGTTGATCCTGTCAAAGATATAAAGGGGGCTGAATCTAGTAGAAGTGGAGGTAAAAAGAAAGAAAAAGAGAGAGAGGGAGCAAGTGGTGATGAGAGGGGAAATGGGAAAGAAAAAGTACTGGCTATTTGTGGAGGTGCTGAAGAAGGTGGAAACAAGTCAAAGGAAAGTGGTTCTGGGGAGGCGGCTGAAGGGCTTGTGCATCGAAGCAAGCAACAAGATGAACTTGGTTCATCTGCTGAGGAAACACTGGCTGATCTTCTGAAGAGGGTTGGGGCCAGTTATGATCCAAATAAGCGTAAAACTTCCACTCAAAAGGCTCCAACTGCTTCCAAGCCAACAAAGAAAAGCAAAATGTCATCCCCAATACCTATTGTACCTTCATTACCTAAGGGAAGAGCCACTAGAAGTAGGGTCAAACAAAGTGAAGCTGAGTTACAGAAAGCTCTGGAAGAAAGCAAGAAGAAAAAGAAGGAGAAGGGAAAAGCAAAGGTTGTAGAGAGTTCTGAGGTTGCAGAAGAAGAAGAGGAGATAGAACTGGTCCATCAAGAAAGGGGAACAACTGCGGAGGTTCCTACACCCAACCCAAAAAGGGCCAAGGCTTGTTCCAAGAAGTCTTCCTCTGAACCTGTATCTGCTGAACCCTCTTTAGCCAAAAGAACCAGATCTACAGTGAAAGGTAAGCAGGTAAAAATTACTGAGGAGGAAGAAGAATGGAGTGGAGAAGAAGAAGAAGAGGTATCTAAAAAGGAACAAGATAGGTTTGCCATCTTTAGCAGAAGAATTTTTTTGAAAGGAAGACTGTTGAGAGACCTGGATGAGCCAAGAATGAGAAGACTGGTGGATGCCCTAGCTGCACAAGGTTGGAAGGACATGGTCCTTGAAATGGATGGGAGGCTGGCTAGGAAAGAATTGATTGAATTTATGGCCAATGCCATAGTGAAGAATGGGGTAGTCACCAGTCTGGTGAAAGGAGTAAGGGTGCAGTTTGATGCACTCAAATTGGGTAAGATTCTAGACATACCTAGTGAGGGGTATGATGATTATACAAGGCAAAGGTGGCTATGTTTAGATTCTCTCCCTACTGCTCTTCAAATCACTAGGAATTTTTGTGACGCTGCAACTGCTGAAGATGTGCTTGAAGCCAGGTTTGTGCAGAAAAGTAAGATGAGGCCTAAGAACAAGGTCTTGTTTGAATTTGTTAACAAGTGCCTGCTTCCCAGATAGGAGAGGAGGCACACTACCAACTATATGGACCTGCTTCTTATGGAGTGCCTTGTGAGAGGAATGCAGTTCAATTGGCCTGCCTTTTTTGTCAAATTACTGGATAGGGTCATAAATGGCTCCAAGGCTCATGCCACCCCATATGGGTTCATATTGACTACTATTCTGGACAGGCTGATTGTACCTTTGAAGAAATGGGAGATGGCATCAAGCAAGGAACACTTTGGCGTCAAGACTCTTATGGCTTGTGACTATCCAGTCAATGTCACCCTAGTTGAACCTGGTTCATCTCTGAAGACACCTGTGAACAACAAGGTTAGGGCTTTGGTTAAAGAGTGTGGATCTAAGGATGCTGAAATTGCTAGGCTCTAGGCTCGTGTAGCTGAACTGGAAACTGAAAGAGATGGCCTTAGAATTGAGCTAGCAAAAGAAAAGGAGAAGAGTGATGGGATGCTTCAGAATATGCTCAACCTTCTCCAAACCCAGTCCTCTAAATCCTCAAGCCTTAGGATGTCCAGTTGTTGTCTTCTGAACCAGTCTAGTACCCCTAGTGACCCAGATTAGGGACTTTTTCTGTTTTTTTTTTGCTCATGTTTTGGAAGTTTTTCTTTCTTTTTGTGGTTTGTTGGTGGAAACATATCTTATCAATGACAACTGTTGTTTCTCTTGTTTTATGAAGATTATGATCTTAATAGTTTGAATATGTTTGTTGATTATTGATGATTTCATCCATATTTTCACTTGCAGTTGCCCAAGTGTCCATGAGTAATTACTAAAATCTGGGATTCACAATGTATGCAACTTTTCGATGATGCCAAAAGGGGAAGAGATATTGTGCTTTACTCTTTATTCTGAATAATGTGATATTTATAACCTAATTAAACCTGGTCCTTGATGATAAGCTAAAAATTCTAAGTTAATGTGTTGATGGTCAAGTTGAGTTCCTACAGGTTCTTTGATTAGTAAAAGCACAGAGTTTATCATCATCAAAAGGGGGAATTTGTTGGCCCAAGTTCAGGTGATGTTTTGAAGAATGACAAATAAACTCAGTCATGGACCAGGTCCATCATGTGAGGCACAATATTTATCAACCTAGACATGTGAGATATACATGAAAGAGATAAGTCTCAGTGATCAAGCAACAATATCTCCTGAACCAAACGAAAAGGTTGCATATTGGATGAGGAGATAAAGTCTCCTTATGGGAAGAGGACACAATCCGGATAAAGGATAGAGTTGGAGTTTGTATTGAACAAGGACTCAACTTCGATGGAAGATCAGCAATTGAGTCTCAATCAAACTCTGATTACTAACTCATTAAATAACAGTGATTGTTCTCTTTTATAGGGGTTGCACATACGCAGAAGTTAAACTAAATTGAGAGCAAACGAGCAAGGCAATTTTGCGAGCAATTTATGTGAGATTTAAGTGTGCACACCTGAAGCTACTTGAACGAGATAGAAGAACTAGTTCCGTTGTGTTTATTCTTATTCTAGTTCAATTGTAGTAGGTGGTTTAAAGTTGTACCTTTTCAGCTTTCATAGAAGCATTTGTAAGAGGTACTTTGAGTGTTCAAGTTATAGGGTAACTTGAAGGTGTCGCAACAGTTGAGGCTGTGTGCTACACAGGGATTAGAGTTGATCCTTAGGTTTACAAAGAGTTTTTGTAAATGCTGTTTTGGCTCAGTGATTTTAGTGGATGTTTGGGAAAATCCTACTGAGCAGTAGGTCGTGGTTTTTTCACCTTTTGAGCCAGGTGTTTTCCACGTAAAATCTTTGTGTTCTTTATTTTTTGTACTTTTAATTCCGCAACAGTAGAAGTTAGAATACCTAGAAGAACCAGGTTCTTCTAGATCGAAAAATGGGTACCACACAAATCACCCCCTCTTATGTGGTATTGACGTTTAGAATGATCAGTATGATTACATAAATGATAAAACTAAGTAAGGATGCATGATCAATTTAGACGCTAAATTAAAGAGTACATAATCAGTAACTAGCAATAGGAATATGGATTTATGTATATACACAGAGAAGTTTTATATTATCACTATACTTTAATATGTCGTAACAGATTACCCGCCTTCAGTGTGGAGCTACCTATTGGAAAGGAGGTTCAATTGAATCTCTTCGGTCTAAAAATTATACTACACAACTAGAGTGAAATTAATTTTGTTTTTATTTATATCTGCGTTGTTGAATCCCCTTACAAGTGGTAAATGTTACACTCTAGCATTTTTGAATCTCCAAGCTAAAATTTCTAGTTCGGCAACTGTGCGCCTTATTTTTCAAGTACCAATTCTATCGTACAGTAAGCTAAAAATGTAAGTATAATTTGTCATGAAGTTAAACATTTGAAATATCAGAAGAAAAACTTTAGGAGTATATGATACAATATGGGACATCCATATATATATATATAAAGAGAACAAAAAGAACAAAGGGAACTTTTTATTCCTCGTCTCAATTTGTCTTCATGCCATATTTTTCTTCACAAAAAAAAAAAAGGTAGATAAACATAAAAAGTTTAAATCACCGCAACCACCATTGACGGCGATCACTTGATCTTACTTTGATGAAATCAAACAAGATGACTTCTTGATAGATATCAGTAAAATGATGAGAACAATATGGTGTATTATTGAGATAATTTCTGCATAACGGACAAGTCATACGTCCATAACCAAGCCATCTATCAAGACAAACTCTGTGAAAAAGATGATTGCATCTCAGTTCTCTGACTTCTTCTCCTTCTTCTATTTTGCATAGACAAACTGCGCATTCAACTGAATCCAATAAAGACCCTGATTCAGCTTCAAAAATCCTAACACCAAGCTCGTCATGGGCACTAGAATTTTCTGAAATTGTGTTGATGTTATAGGAATGAGAGAAAGATTGAAAGAGGAGGAAATCCCAAATCCATTTTAACTTAGTCGCAGTAGAATATACAAAGTTTATTACCTTTGATCGTGGAAACATTGGCAGCATTTTCAGGAGATTGGTACAGATGACGAGAATAAGGAAGAAAAACTAGAAAATAAGATTGGTTTATGTAAAGGGGGAAGGAGGAGCTCTATATATACATATTACTCCATACAGGAGGGATAGCATAGGGACTACCTGAAAAGAATGTTGAAGGTTAAGAATGTTTATTAAAATAAACACGTTTCAGAATAACGAGGTTGAAAGGAAATAGCAGTACATTTTAGGACCCATGAGTACTAGATTGTAATATCACTAAATTTATGTCCTAGTACACACAGTATCTTGCAAACAACAAACAAAATATTGTAATTGCCGGCTGACTTGTTAATGTTGAGTGATTATTACTTCTTCCGTGTCAATTTATGATGTACTTCTTCCGTCTCAATTTATGAGACTTTCTTTTGAACACTTAACTTCAAAACTACGTTGCGCGGACTCTTCAAAATGCTATTGTATACGTGTCGGATTCTCCAAAAATACACTACTTTTGAAGGATCCGACACACATCTGACAATATCTTTGAAGAGTCCGAGCAACATAGCTTGAAAAAAAAAACTTTCAAAATTTATGGCGTAAAACAAGCCATAAATATTTCTATAGCAATATATAAATTATCTCCTATACGTATTACTCCATATAGGAGAGGTAGTAGCATAGTGACTACTCGAAAAGAAATTAAAGTTGAAGTTTAAGAATGTTTATTAAAATAAAAACATTTCAGAATAACGAGGCTGAAAGGAAATAAATATATTGACATTACAACCTCTAGTGTACACTGTATCTTGCACAGCAAACGCTACCAGAAATAAAGCCAATTCTCGATCGTCAAATCAATCGGAAATCGGTCGAAAATCTTATTTTTCTGGCGAATTTCTTACCAAAAAAGGTCGGTTGGAAAACACGTGCTCGCAAAATATTTGCAACCGAATCAGTCAAAAATTTCTGACGGAGTCGATCGCAAAATGAAAAATAAAGGACGCATTTGAGTTTAAGTCATTGCGACCGAATTGTTCGGTAAATTTCCGACTGATTCAGTCACTAATCAAAATAAAAATAAAAAATTAAAATTAAATGCTCTGACCGATTATGTCGGAAAATTAAATAATAAAATTAATTTTTAATTAAAAACTCCGGTCGAAGTAGTCGTACATATTGAGTATTAATTAATTAAAAAAATTTAGAAATTCTCAATTTGCGACCGAATCAGTCATAAATCTGGGTAATATCTCCGACTGATTCAGTCGTAAATTAGTCGCAAATCTGAATTTTTTTTAGCAGAATCGTGCTGTATTTTTAATTACATCACATGCCAAATAAAACAACCAACCAAATACTTAGTATAACAATCAAAATTCAATATTTACTAAAAAATAAACAGTAATATTTATAACAATCCATCTAACTAATCAAACAAAATAAATTAAACATGTCTCTAACTTCAACTCTAAAACATTCAAATAGCAATTTTTTGGATCAAAGCCTTTCTTCAGACTCAGACTCCATTGCAGCTTGACTGCTTTTCTTGCTTTCTTTTTTAATAAGTTTTGGATCAAAGCCTGAGTTGGCTGAAATTCTTGCAGCATTTGATCCACTTAATGACGCAGGCTTCCATGTCTTTTTGAAAAACTGATGCACCAATGAATAATGTTGTTGTTGGACGACTGGAGGATGGCTTACTTCAATCTCGTAGACTCGACCTTTCTTTATTTTTACGAGAAATAAAGAAAAGAAAGTAAAAGGAGTAAGAAAACAAATACACAACTTTCAAGCTAATACCAAAATAGATAATTACATAATCTCTATACCTCTATTCACGCCACTAGCCGCCAGTGTCCAAATTGCAGTCATATCCTCCAGGGCCGGTTGAGTTCCTTCAGGCTGAGTTTGTCGCCATACATCAAGATCAATATGGTATTTGTCCTGAAATAAAAATAATACACGTTATATAAATAAAATAAACCAAGAGGAAAAAATAATATAGTGTTGGAGTTGGGATCATAAAAATATCTCTAAAGCACGCGGTTTGACCCATCCTTCTCATGTGTCGTCCTTCTTCTTCTTGTGGGTCTCCGCAAAGACCTCAACATAAGTGACATCTCCCTACGTTCATTTTCGTGAAAATTTATGACGATCTGGCCGGTTGTCTCATGAGTTACCGCTCCATTTCCCCCATTTTTGCTTTTTTTATGCTTTGTTTATCGGTGTTATGTGGTCTCGGGTTGGTCGGATCAAATCCAGAATGATTTTGGTAAGGTTCGAGACACCTAGTCTCTTTTGAGGAAGCTTAAGTTGGAAAAGTCAATCGGATGTTGACTTACATGTTAGAGGGCTCGGATGTGAGTTCCGATGGTTGGGTTAGCTTCGGGAGATGATTTGTAACTTAGGAGCATGATCGAAATGAGTTTTGGAGGCTTGGAGTAGATTTAGACTTGAATTGGTGAAGTTGATATTTTGGCAATTTCGGGTTGGAAGGCGAGATTTTGATATAGTGTCGGAATGGAATTCCGAGAGTTGCAGTAGTTCTGTGGTGTTATTTGGGATATGCGTGCAAAATTTCAGGACATTCGGAAGTGGTTTGGTTGGATTTTTGATCAAAAGCGAAATTCGGAAGATTTTAGAAACTTAGGCTTGAATCTGATATGTTTTGGTTGATTTGATGTTGTTTGAGGTATTTTGAAGATTGATACAAGTTTGAATAAGGTATTAGGATATGTTTGTGCTTTTGGTTGAGGTCCCAGGGGCCTCGGGACGATTTTGGATTGTTGACGGAAAGGTTTGAGACTTGTTGCAACTGCTGAACTTTGTTGCTTCTGGTATTTCCGCACCTACGGATTGGGGACCGCAGGTGCGACACCGCATATGCAGGCGTTTAGTCGCAGAAGCGAAAAGGGTCCTGATGAGCAGCGGCCGCAAATGCGGTTAGGGTGACCGCATCTGTGATGTCACAGATGCGGAAGGTTGACCACAGAAGCGGTTTTAGCTGTTAAGTGAGGAACCGCAGAAGCGGTTATTTGGCCGCATATGCGGTACTGCAGAAGCAGTAATTTGGCCGCAGATGCGAAAATGACTGGGCAGAAAGTATAAATTGTGGCCTTCGCGAATTTGAGCTATTTCACCATTTTTAATTTCAGCCTTGGAGCTTTTTGGACGATTTGCAGAGGGATTTCAAAGGAACTTCATTGTGGTAAGGAATTTGGACCTAAAACTAGTTCCTATGCTATTATTTCACGGATTAGAGCTAGAAATTATGGAATTTAAATGTAAAAATTGGGGAAACTAGGGCTTGGAAACTTAGACATTTGCTTGGGGATTTGAAGGACTAATTGAGGTCGAATTTTAGAACTTTTGATATGTATGAACTCGTGGGAAAATGAGGAATCTATTGATGTAAAAATTATCGAATTCTGAGACGTGGGCCCGAGGGTCGGGTTTTGGTAATTTCGCGATTTGTGTCATTTATTGATTGTTTTCGCTTGGGCTTCGTTCCATTAGCATACTTTGACGTCCTCGTTCTGATTTTGGATAGATTCGACGCGAGATGAGGCCGATTCGAGGGGCAACGGAGTCATGAGATAGAGATTTGATCTGTTTGAGGTGAGTAATGATTGTAAATGATATTCTGAGGGATTGAAACCCCGGATTGTACATCGTAGTACTATATTGAGGCGAGGCACGCGCTTGATGACAAGCGTGGGGTCATGCACTATTAGGGATTGTGACTTGGTCTGTCCCGATTGATGATTTTACCGCGTATTTGACTGAAATCTATTTGCTATCATCATTATTTGGGTTGAATTCCATATTTGGGCATTGTGCTAACTATTTGAACTCTTCAGGGATTTTTACTGGTATTTCCTCATTGTTTGACTTTTACTGAATTCAGTCATGTTATATTTTACTGTTTTTCGTACTCAGCCATGTTTACTCTGTTTTAGCACTTACATGATCTTTTAAATGATATTTTTGGGCTGAGAAGCATATTTTACTACTGCCTGAGTGGCTTGTGAGGATTTTGACTAAGTAAGGCCGAGGGCCTATGTTGTGAGGAAATATTTGATACTGATTATGAGGCCGAGGGCCTAAGATATATACGCCACGAGGTGGCTTTATTGATATGAGACCGAGGGCCTACTGATGATGCCACGAGGTGGCTTGATATTGTGCTTGGGCCGTAAGGGGCCCCTCCAGGAGTCTATACACCCCCAGTGAGCGCGGGTATCCATTGTGATGTAAGATTGAGCCCGAGGGGCTGGTATTATTTTGAGATGTTGCTCGAGGGGCGGATTTGTTGATACTATGCCCGAAGGGTGAACCTTTATGTGTTTACTTTTCATAATTGGCTGTCAATTACCTGCTTAATCATTGAAAAAAAGATTTTCATGAAACTACATTTGAGTTAAAGAATTTTACCTATCTTTCACTGATTTACCATTTTTAAAGGGTTTCAGTGCTTCATTATAAAATGATTTGTGCCTTACGTGATTTATTGCTTTTAGTCCTTATTTACATTTGTTACTTACTCAGTTGGAGTACTCACTTTACTCCCTACACCCCGTGCGCAGATGCAGGCGTTGTTGATCATGCCAGTGCGAGTTAAGAGCTCCCGACGGACATTCGGAGTTCACGAGGTAGCTGCTTGACATATGCAGTCCCGTGTTTCTCCCTCTTTATCATTTCTATCTCTTATCAGACATTTATAATAGTTGTAGACTTTTTTAGACTTGTATTAGGTTTTATAGATGCTCATGATTAGTGACACCCCGGTATCGGGTTGTGTTTAGCTATATTCCGCATATTATACTATCATTTCCTTAAACTTTGGTTTATTTATCCGTGCTTAGACCATTTCTAAATGCTCAATTGTTAATAATGGGAAAATGGGAAGTGTCGGCTAGCCTTGTCTTCACAAGAGGTGCCATCACGATTGGGTTTGGGGTTTAGGGCCGTGACAAGTTGGTATCAGATCCTAGGTTATATAGGTCTCACGAGTCATGAGCAGGTTTAGTAGAGTCTCGCGGATCGGTACAAAGACGTCTGTATTTATCCTTGAGAGGCTGTAGAACTCTTAGAAAAAACTTCATATTCTTGAAATTCTTGTCATGCGAATTTGTTGATCCGAGTACTAAACTTCTGTTATTCTATTCTCACACAGATAGTGAAGACACGCGCTACTGGTCAGGATGGACGACCACCAGTACCCCCAGCTGTGACCACTAGAGGCCGAGGATGCTGCCGTAGTCATGGTAGGGGCAGATCAGCTAGGGAAGCACTTGCAGATCCACCAACTACCCCAGTTAAGGATCATGTCCCAGTTATGGACGCTCCAACAGCACCAGCTTAGGCACCAGCTGTGCCCATTGTGATTCCAGGTCTGCAGGAGGACTTGGCTCAGATCTTATCAGTTTGCACTGGCCTAGCTCAGGCAGTTTTGATCACTACAGCCGCAACTACTTCTCAAGCCGGGGGAGGCAATCAGACTCCCGTCGCTCGCACACTTGAGCAGGTCGTGCAGGGACTTCAGATGCCGAGGGCACACCCAGCCCAACCGGTTGCAGCTTCTCAGGACTATGTAATTCCTGCTATGCCAGAGGATGAGCAACGTAGGTTGGAGAGGTTTGGTAGACTACAGCCTCCGACCTTCAGTGGTGCAGAGGGCAAGGATGCCTAGGGTTTCTTAGATAAGTGCTACAGGATGCTTTGTATAGCGGGTATTCTGGAGAGCAACGGGGTTGCTTTCACTATTTATTAGTTTTCTGGAGCTGCCTTCACTTGGTGGGAGGCTTTTGAGAGGCGTAGTCCTGTTGGTGCAGCACGCCTTACCTGGCAGCAGTTCTCCGTTCTCATTTTGGAGAAGTATGTGCCGCAGTCCCACAGAAATGAGTTGTGTAGGGATTTTGAGTGGTTGCGTCAGGGATAGATGATAGTGACACAGTACGAGATGAGGTTCTCCAAGTTAACTCATGCTATTTGGATGGTTCAGATAGATAGAGAGAGGATTAGGAGGTTTGTTGATGGCCTCACTTATCAGCTTCGCATTCTCATGACCAGGGAGAGGGTGATTGGTGCTACTTTTGAGGAGGTTGTGGATATTGCCCATGAGATTGAGTCTGTTCGTCGCCAGGAGCGAGAGGAGAGGGAGGCCAAGAGGCCTCGAGGATCTGGTAGTTATAGTGGTACTCCTTCGAGAGGCCAGTTTCAGCACGGCAGAGGCCGTCCATTCAGGCATGCTCGGCCAGCTTGCCCAGGTTATCGTGGGGCATCATCGGGCGATGTTTCTCACAGTTCTCATCAGGTCCAGTCATCATTTAGTGCCCTTCTAGCTCAGAGTTCATCCCGTGCTCCGTCAGTTCAGGGCTTTTCTATGCCGAGTGCATCTGCTAGTCACTGCGGTGTGAGAGGTTCCCTTCAGTCCCCTTCTCCAGCACCTGGGAGTTGTTATGAGTGTGGTAAGATGGGTCATATGTGAGGGCAGTGCCCTCGTCATCTTGAGAGTTTATCTCAGCATAGGGGTCAGTCATCGGTTTCAGCGCCAGTTACTTCACCACTAACCGCCCAGCCAGCTAGGGGTGGAGGTCAATCAGCTAGGGTCGCCCCAAAGGGAGAGGTCGTTCAAGTGGCAGTCATGCCCATTTCTATGCACTTGCAGGCAGACCCGAGGCCATTGCTTCAGATGCTGTTATTACAAGTATTGTTTCAGTCTGCCACAGAGATGCCTCTGTATTATTTTATCCAGGTTCCACCTTTTCTTATGTGTCATCATACTTTTCTTGTTATTTGGGTATGCCCCGTGAGTTTCTTGCTTCACCTGTTCATGTATCTACCCCGGTGGGCGATACTGTTATTGTAGACCGTATGTACTGGTCGTGTGTGGTGACTATTTGGAGTATAGAGACCCGTATGGTTCTTTTATTATTGTGTATGGTGGATTTCGATGTTATTTTGGGCATGGATTGGATATCTCCGTGTCGTGCTATTCTAGACTGTCATGCTAAGACAATCACATTGACTATACCGGGTGTGCCACAGATCGAGTGGCGAGGTGTTATTGATTATGTTCCCAATAGAGTGATCTCATTCTTGAAAGCCCAGCGTATGG